ATACACACAATGAACTAGGCTGATCAGATGAGAAAAACATTTTATGACCAGGCCACAGCAGGCACATCCTCACCACCAGTTTCAGTTGCCCTTTACCACCACCAACCCCAGTTCCCCTCACCCTTTAACACTCCCCACTGTTGCCCCCCTCCATGTTTTCATAACCAGGCACAGAACTGTGTTGCCATGCGAGATGATAGAAACATGGCTTTCGTTTATTGCATGACCATTTTATGTCCTGGTCAGCAGCAGCTCATAACACCTTTGGGCTGGTTGGGCAGTGGTCAGTGTAACCTATGACAAGTGTCGTCTGCCCCTCGTGTCCCTCTGGGCTCTGCCGTGCAGCCTCAGGTTCCCATGGAGCAGCCTTGCACAAGAGAGCTGCTGTGGGCGATAATGATCCCACGTCTCTACACCACCCTTTCCCTGTAATGTGTCTTTGGCATTTTGTAAACAGTTTAATTGAGAAAGCAAAGGATATAGTTCTCATGGAGACTGAAGGGAATTTTAGGTGGGCAGAATGCAATTACCCAAGGCAGCATCTTGCCAATCTGCCAACACAGAAATAGGAAAATATGTGTGTCGGTGGCATTTGTCTCTGTCTATTGTATCTAGGGTCTCTTTCTCTTTTGTGCATCTGTTGAATATTTAGTTTCAAAGTATTTGATTGAGATTGGCTGTGTGACAGATTTCAGTTTTTCTTTTGCTTTAGATTATTTGCTAGAATTGAAAAGATTTTTTAAGACCAGTTAGATACGCAGTCAAGGTCTCTTTCCCAGCTGAGGCTCAAATTTAGGTGAATTTTCAAAGTTTTGTCCAAAGAGATGGAATACATGGAGTAAGGCAAGTAACTTAGTTTGCTTTTCTTAGTTTCATGTTTGATTGCTCTTCCTCCTACTCTCCACCCTGTCCCCATCTTGGGGTACAGCAATGCAAGGTGACCCAATTTTCTTTGTCTCTAAAATTGTTGCATATTATCTCATATTAACATAGCCTGTCTAGCTCCTGTGTTTGTTATTGATATGTATTATTCCATCCCTTTACATGTAACTTATTTGTGTGTCTGAATTTATAGTCATGCTTCATTTAATGATGCCTTTTTTTAATCTCTGTCATCATTGTGATGATATAAGCACTTTTCTCTATATGTTACAAACCAAACAGTATATTGCTGTGCTTATTTATTCAGTCATGTCTTTTAAAGAAGCTGAAAAGAATACAAGCATATATCTCCAGTGTTTGTGTGTAACACAGCTTCACATTTACCATTTCTGGTTACCTTAATTTCTTTCAGTGGTTACCATTTGGTGTACTTTTCTTGCCACCTCCCCCTAATTCCTTTTGTGCTTTATTGTCAAATATATCACATTTCTTTATGTTACAGAGTCAATACCATCATACATACTGTTTTAGGCAAGTGATTTTTAAATCAGTTAAGCGGAAAGCATGTGACTATATTGCCTTTTATAATGACCAATATTGGTACTCTGTGTGTGTGTTGAGGGATGGGGAGATAGGGTCACATGCTCTCAGCCTGAAGAACATCCTTTAGTATTTCTTATAAGGCACCTCTATTAGCAACAAATTCAATTTTTGTTCATCTAAGAATGTTATTACTGCACCTTCCTTTTATGCAAGATTCTTAGTTCATAGTTTTGTTTTCAGTACTTTGTGTCAACCCACTGCCTTCTGGCCCACTGTTTCTCCAGAGAAGTCAGCTGTTAATCTTATGCGGATCCCCTAGCACATGAGTCATTTTTTGTTCCTCTTTCAGAATCGTCTTTCAACATTTTCGCTATCATGTGCCTGGATATGGGTCTCTTTGTGGTGTCATACTTTTGAAGTTGTTGATTTTATTGAATGATTACATTTTTGTCATTAACTTAGGGGTTTTCATTCATCATCTCTTTGAATATTCTTTTCTCTCTCCAGTCTTGTTCACTTTAGATATATGTTGATATGCTTAAATGGTGTCTCCTGTTTCTTTAAGGTTCTATTCATTTTTACTCACTCTTTGATTCTTCTGTGTTCTTCACATTGCATCATCTCTATCAGTTTACTTCAAGTTTACTCATTCTGCCTGCTGGAATCTACATTTGAGCCCCTAGAGTGAATTTTTCATTTGTTAATTTACTGTTCAACTCTAGAACTTCCATTTTGTTCATTGTTATAGTTTCTATCTATTGATAGTCTTCATTTGAAGAAACATTATCACCTCCCCTTAGTTTTTAAAGTATAATTTCCTTTCATCCTTTGGCTATACTTATAATTGTGGTTTTGCTGTCTTTGTGTGCTAAGTCCGATTTCTGGACCCTCTCCAGTGCAGTATCTGTTACCTGCATTTTTGCTGTAGGTGGCTCACACTGTTTCTTTGCACATCTCCTAAGTTTTTTGACCACTGAACTGGACATTTTAGATAATACATCATGGCAATTCTGACCCCCTTCACCTACTCTACTCCCCACACCCACTTCTTGTTTGCTTATTTGTTTAGTGACATGCTGGAATAATTCAGTGAAGTCTATTCTCCTAGTATGCTTCTGATGTCATTGCTTTAGGCCATAAATAAATCCTTCTATTTTCTTTTTCAAATGGCATAATTCTTCAAAATGTTTCTTTGCCTCTGCCTCATCTCACTATTAAGTTTCTGGCTGGTCTAATTCCTTCACTAATTTCTAATTGTTTGATCTATTGTTTTTGGCTATGGGTCATAAACTGTCCAGAGCATCGGATTCAGTTAATATCAAACCCCTTTGCAGAGGAAGTCTTTTTGGCCAGTTCTTGAAGTTTGTTTTGGGTCCAGAAGGGCAATTCTGTATATTTTTCTAGTTTTCTCTGTTAACTTCTAGTTGATCCACCATTTCTACTATTGTAGAACTATCAGTCTCCTTTGGTAAACCACCACCAAATATAATCATGTATGTAGGAAATGACATCAAGTATAAGATTCACTTGAAAATACATTAGAAAAATGTTCTCAGCTATTTTCAAATTTGGGCAATAATTTATGGGAGTTCATATTATTGTCTCTGCTTTTGCATAACTTGAAACGTTTCATAATGCATAAAGGACTAGAAACATTGCTTTGATTGTATATGCTTCTCTATTAAAACAAGAAAATATTTATCGGTATCAGAAGGTAAGGTCATACACGTCACAAAAATGTGACAAGGTGGGAACATTATTTTTTGGATTTGATTTGGCTTCTTCCAAATGGAATCCACACAAGGCACTTTGCAAGCAATGCTATGTGGTCTCCGAAGGCAGAGAGGGATGAACTCCAGCTGGGCGGGAACAGTCCAGGAAGACGGCGAACTTCCTGGCCATTGCTACTTGGAAGTTTGTGTACTCACAGTGACTTCACAGATAGAAATGGATCAATTGCTGCCTTTAGCAGTGGAGTTTAGTGAAGCCTTTTCTCCATCACTAGGATAAAGATGGTATATGTGGAAAAAAGCAGACTGTAAACCTTACAAATGTAAGGTTCTTAAAATATTAATTACAGAAGCAACTTTAAGGGTAAAAGGGATAGGGAGCATAGTACTTTGGAAAACAGTCTCTCATTTCTTCAAAATGGTACATGTGGATTTAGGACATGGTCCAGCAGTCCCAGTCCTGGGTGTATATGCAAGAAAATTGAAAACATGTCTACACAAAACTGTGTACACAAATGTTCATAGCATCGTTACTCATAATCACCCAAAAGTGGGAACAATCAACAACTGATGAATGGATAAACAAAATGTGGTGTTCTAGCCAATGGGGTAATATTCAGCCATTGAAAGGAATAAAATACTGGCACATATTGCAACATGAATGAACCTTGAAAACATTTTGCTAAGTGAAAAGCAGTCACAGTCACAAAAGATCCTATATTTTATGATTTGTGTTTTATATGAACTATCCAGACTAGGCAAATTCATAGTGACAGAAAGTAAATTGGTGGTTGCTAATGTCAAAGGGAAGGAGAGAATGTGAAATGAGTACTAATGGGTATGGGTTTTTTTAGAGGATAATAGAAATGTTTTAAAATTAGATTGTGGTGCTGACCATCAAACAACTCTGGGAATATACTAAAAACCACTGAATTGTACATTTTAATGGGGCAAGTTTTATGGTATGTGATTTGTAGACAAAGCTGCTATTTTTTTTTTATGGGGAGAAGTATGAAAGTATAAGGAGATTTTTGAACCAAAATGGTTTTCTCTTCATCACTCACCCCCTCTATTATCACCACCACCTGGGTCCCAGCATCTGTCACATTCAGGAAGCTGTATGACTTTTTTTTTTTCAAACTTCAATGAGAAATGCCACATCTGAAGCAGCAACAGTAAAAAAGCCAAGAATTGTCATTTTATTCCCCCATACCTACCCTTTTTGTGTTGGTAATTTTTTAAATTGGATGAGGCAGCTTAGAGGGCAGAGGTTCTCCTAACATGAGGCTATTTGCAAATTTCCCCTGACTGACCAGCAGTGTACATATTCACCATCCTGGCAAAATAGAGCTATGATGATTTTTTTTTTAAGATTTATTTATTTATTTATACAAGCACTGGGTACAGTCAGAAGCGCAGGAGGGCGAGAGAATACACCAGAGCCAGAGCAGGGAACAGAACAGGCAGACTGACGAAATACACTGCTGAGGGGAGCAGCAGGCACGGCAGGAGAGGTCTGTCGCACCATGTGGGACCCTCGCCGGTGGCCGGGGATCGAACTGGTGCTGCAGAGGCTGCGGGCAGCTTCGCAGCCCAGCGCTCAACCGCTGTGCCACCAGGGGAGGCCCTATTTTTTTTTTAAATCACCATGCCTGACTGCCAAACTGCCTCCCCACTGTACAATCCCATGTCTTTTTACACCAAAAAGTAAGTGTGGCTGATAGACTGACTCCTGCCAGTTAGGCAAACCCCCAGGTCCAGCGTTGAGGACAGATTCCTTTTCCAGCCAGTGGACTTACACTCATCTAGTGCTTTTTCTGTTTTCCTGTCTTCTTTTTGTTTTAGTGGCTGCTTCAACCCCCAACTCCACTGCTGGTGCGGCTATGAATTCTTTGACCTCTCTTGGGACTCTGCAAGGATTGGCGGGAGCCACTGTTGGATTGAATAATATTAATGCACTAGCAGGTACCATAAACAGTGAGTATTTGCTGCTCTGGTGGACAGCCTTCCCCCAAATTTTCCACAGAAAATGCTTAGCCACAAATGACTTTAAAAGGGGTACAAAACAGGAGAACTAACACTTGGGATGGAGGAGCACATGGTTTGATAGGTAATTCTTGGGTCAAAAATTACCCCAACTACTTACCTTGGTGTTTTCCTAATATGTAGGATGTGTATTCATCCATTGATTTATGTGCTACACAGATACTTGTAGGTGTGGAGGGGTTTGGTTTTGGTTTGATTTTTATTCTATTCTTAGAGGCAGTGTTATAATAGAAAAAGACATGGGCTAGAAACCATGGGTCCATCTCTGAGTTTGCTACTAGCATCTGCAGGATTTTAGGCAAATCAGTCTCCTGTGGGAGTCCCTGTTTGAAAATTGAAAGTTCTGCATCAGATGATCTTAAAGGTGCTCTCCAACTCTAAAACCCAAAGAATGATGTCAGTTATATAAGAGAAAAGTGAGGTCTTCAGAAGAATGAAATAATGTTGAGTTCAAAGGAGCTGCTGTGGAGCTGTGACATGGAGTCATGACTAGGACCCTGTAGGCAGGGGTCATTCCACTACAGTCTGTTTCCATAGCAGGCTGAGCAGAGTAAAGCAAATAGTTTACAAAATTACTTAGCTCTGAAACATGGACAACAGAGAGCTCCAGGTTCTGTCCTATGAGCCTTCCATTTCCATTCATGGGGAGGAGAATGGTAGCTGGCCAGAGGATGCCATATTTTGGACTCATGGTTTGGTGCTGGTCCTGCACTAGGGGGAATTGATCCTCAGCCCAGAAGGGACTTCATTTGTCTTTTCCTTCCGTTGGTACCCTTGATTGCCTGCCCAGTAGGATCATGACAGCCAAAAAGATTCTGATTTGGTGGCCCAGTTACCCACCATGCAGCCCAGGCAAGCTTTTAAGTTTTAAGAAGGGGCCCCGAGACAAGCTATCCTATTTTGAGCCATGATTCAATAAGTGAACTGTTTTTAAGGGTCATCACTTACATGCAGTTTTTAGGCAAAAATCCCTAAAATTCTATACTTTAAAAGCTCCAAAAGAATGCCTCGCAGTTTATTTGATAAAATAGAACTTAGAACTTATTTAGGTGTAGGTGAAGATTTATAATCCTAATAAGAAAATAAATCACGTATTTAGAGGTAGGTGGTTTGCAGGTTTTATTACGTCCTTATATTCAGATGCTATGGGGGAAAAAATAAGCAAACACTTGAACTGAGTTTTATCTCACCATAGACAAAATAAGAGACAGATTTTCCCTTCCAGAGGTGATGGCTCTTGATTAGCAAGTAATGGATGAAGTGTGAACCATGTGACAGTCCTAGTTTTCTCCCAGCTAAAACTGCCTCAGCGCCCCTTCCAGAGGCGGGAGAAACCCACATTGCTTTGACTCCTGTTTCTGACCTTGTTCTGCAGACACGCCAATCCACCTGTTGTCCCTCCCCTCGGCTGCAGAAGTGTGTATTTGCACACACTGCTTCATGCTGCTTCTCTTGCCCCAGGACCTAGTTCCCCTAAAACAAGGACTCTGATTTGATCACCTGCCTGTCCTTGATCTCAAAGTAACAGGCCAGTGGGAATGGCTGTCCTCCTCGGCACGTGCTCATGACTGCTGTGTGTTGTGTCCTCTTGTCTTTGTAGTCCTGTGTCTGTCCATCCTAGTCTGTTGTACTATGCTGGGATTTCCCCATCATTTCATGAGGGACAAAGGAGGGAGTTTGGCGAATGGCAGACAAACCATGACTTGTTCTTGTGTGGGGTCTGTCATACACACTTTTCTTCTGGCAAGGATAATGGGTTTAAACTGTGTTAGTTTTTTTGTTTTTTAAGTTTTTTGCAACTGGGTTAATATAGTATGTATAGTTCATAGGAAATTAAGACTGTTTCTACTTTGAAATAACCCAAACCAGGAAAATGTTTAATGAAATCATGCACAAACAAAAATGCATTCCCTCTGACTTAGTGAATGTTCCCGGCACAAAGCTATGTAATAATCCCAACACTGGCTTGGAGCTAATATTTGCTGCTTTTTTTTTTTTAATTTAAGGATTTTTTTTTTTTTTTTACTTATACAATAGCTGGGGTATGGGCCAGAGGCACGGGAGGCTGAGAGGATTCACCAGAGTGGGGAGCAGGACAGGCAAACCAACTGAAGTACACCGCTGAGGGAAGCAGCGGGCAAGACAACAGAGGTCTGCTCTGCCATGTGGGTTGCTCCTTGGCCAGCCGGGAATGGACCCATGCTGCAGAGGCTGTGGACAGCTTCATAGTGCCGCGCTCAACCCGCTGCACCACCGGGGAGGCCCAATATTTGCTTCTTAAGTACCAAAAGAAAACCTTCTCATGTAGTGTCCTTTTTCAACCCAGTCTTTCTCAATAGACCTGATAAAACTGCCTGTCCCTAGTGGGTAATTCTCAAAGGTAGCCAAGAAAGAGTTACCTAAACAGAGATAGCTTCTCAAATAACTGGCCACAGCTTCCATATCTCTGCTGCTTCTTTCTACAATGAGGAGAGTTTTCTGGTTTTCTGAATGGATCCTCTTTTCCATAGACAGAGGAGCTGGGGAGAAAGTGGGTAAAAGGAATACAAAATTCCCAAATTTATCTTCTTATAAATTTTACCCCTCTCTCTACCAGAAGAGTCACTTGCCTCCCCCAGAAGATAAAGTTTTAGTTAATAGACAAGTAGCTAAAATTGTTTGCATTCAATCTTTTTTTTCCTTAATACATTCATGAGTTGAGGGGCTAAAAATAAGTATAGTGCCCTAGAGAAAAAGCAGAAATTGACAAGATCAGAAATAAAGAACGTGTGTAATTCACCAACAAGGCTTTTACCTCTGGATTATTGGAGGGTCCTCCAGGCATGTTCTGTATATTACTATCTGAACTAAGAGGAAGAAAATATTTTTTGAAGCTATGTCCACCCAAGAGTCTGTATCTGATTTTGTGTTTAAATGTCTGTCAAATAGCATCCTTAGTTTTTCTCATTTAAATGACCTAATCCTTTCAAATGACTTACCTGTAGTGCTTGAAATGATGACCAATTATAACCAGCCATAAATATCCAGTGAAGCATTTATGGAAATATTTTACGTAAGAGAGAGAAATGAGAAGATACCTTGGGCATGTTACTGTAGTTTGGCCAGCCCTTTATTTGAACTGTGAAATTACTATTTTAATATGTATTTTGAGAACATTTTTTTAGATACACAACCTCACATACATTTGTGACCATATTACCATAGGCAGAGTTATAAATTACACTAATTGCACTTAATCATATTCATCTATTCTAGTTCTAAAAATTTTGTACTTAAGTTCTCGTTATCAACTTGCAGCTTAGAAGGATATACCTCATCTATACCCAGAAAAATTTATCCAGTAAATAGATTACGAATCTGTGAGATTAGTACAGTTCTCACTCTGTTCTGTTTTTGATATAAAGCCTAGCAGAGTGACTTGCAAATAAATTGAGTTTGCTTAGGGTATTCTGCTTTTGATTCTAATTTTCAGTACCCTCTTCATAGTGGACACAAAAAGATGCTTGTATTTATAGGTGGGTTCTTCACTGTCATTTTCACAAATTTACTTGGTTATCTCACAGGTCCTCAAGTCTCCAATTGAGGAACTTTCGAGAACAGTTACAGTTTAAGCATTTAGTAGTCAGGATATCCACTAACTTTTTGATAGACCATTTGCAAAGACCTCCCCTCATTGCAGCCGGTCACACCTGCTCCTTTGTCCCAGCCTTCCTCATTCAAATAGCTCGCATGGGAATCTAGATTAAATAGGATGAAATGATCCATCCATTTGGTCTTTTCAAAGAAAGGGACAGCATTTTTTTCAACTCAACCTTCAAATCTGTTTCTATTGTCAAAAATTTTCAGATGTCATCAAAAACCAGCAGCTGAGTTGACAAATATTATCTTCATTGTAATGATTATTTAATACAAATAACATTAGATAATTGACAGGAGTAATTCTCAAAAGTTGAAATCATCATTTGATGGTTCTTCAAATTCTACTAGGTTATCAATTCAGTCGTGGCTTTCCAAGATAATTTGTTTTTTTAAATATTCTCACTGCCCTGGTACTTCTTAGAATGCTTCCCCTTTTTGTTCAAAAGGATGGTTGTACAATGGCCAGAAGCCTGGGCTGGAGAGGGTCTGACTGGTTCCCTCTTAGCATCAACACCCCTTTCAGTTGGTGCAGTCTCTGCCATCTGCCTGTCCATCGCATGCAAGGAAGGCCAGCCATGACTGTCTCTCAAAGGCATGGAATCAGGGGAAGCAAGCAGACCCCTTCACACAGCAGAGTTGTCCTGAGATATAGTACAAAACACAGCCAGTCACTGTAAAGTGCAGGCATGGTGTGGGGATTGTGGCTGAAATATCGATTGCCAGAGCTGCAAGCCTCACAATTCTAGTCCTAAGACATACAGCTTTCAGGAGCATGAAGTTCACTCTGTTCCTATGCTTAAAGAGCAGGGGAAAAAAAATGGCAAAAAGAGGGAAAGACCTAGACAATTTAAAAAAAAGTCATATAGCAGAAGAGAAGGGACTTTCAGAGGCACCCTGCAATTAAATAGCTAGCTCTGTATCCAGATCACTTCTGTGGCTTGTCACCCTTTGTTTGAATTGTGAAATTACCGTTTTAATATGTATTTTTGCACAGAGGAATCCTCCACCCCCAAAGGAGCCAGGTCATGGAAGTCAGAAGTCACAGGAAGAAATTCCTAAGGGTCTTGAATGGAAGGCCTGAAAATGGTCTGAGTGGCAAGTCACAAGTCACTTTCCTACTAGAGCTGCTTCCCACAGAGGAATCTACTTTCCAAAGAAAGAGCTGAGCCCCATGACTTGATCGTCTGTATCCCTAGCAAAGCAAGGGCACCTAACCAACTGTGCCCAGCTGCTCCCTGAGTTGTTTTACACCCACCTATCACCTCTCTCAGAAAAGAAACACTGATGTGTCTTTGCATTCACACAAAGACTGGGAGGTGAGGATAAAATAAGACCAAGAGGAGAAAGGAAAAATGCCCGCCCTTGCAGCAGCCCTAAGAATAACAGGGATGGAAAAGGAAAAAGGCAGTGAGGTAAATGTGATTAATTAGTGTCTGAGGGATTGTTTAGAGTAATTAGGAGGACAAACTATTTCCAAGCTCTTTAACAGCACTTATTTGCATGACCGGGGGAAAAAAAGTATAGAAAATGAACTCCTTTGTAATAAGAAACAGAGTGAGCAGGACCTCTGCTGGCCAACACCTTTTCAGCTTTGTATTTGCTAGATCTGCTTGAAATCATTTCCTTTTTCAGTAAGTTTTTATCCTATTCTCAGTACTTCACTCTCCTCACCACTTCACCCAACCCCTCTGTATCTGTACTAAGGAGATCAAATTTGGTAGTGTCACCCAAGGCTCAATTCTGTCTCCTCAAGCCCCCCAGAAAGAATACCAGGCCTGAAACTGGTAAGCTATAGTCTACTTGTATCTTTTAAGAAGTTCTTGTAATCTACAAGAGGACACTGTCAAAATAACAGGTACATATGTGGAATAAACAGAACATTCCCAGCTCTAGTTCCTATGAGTGACAAGTAAAAGCATGGGTGGGAGCCTTGAGGTGATTCTGGTATTTGATTTCTCTATATAATTTCTGAGTAACCTCTGTTCTCATGAGACTTCCCACAGATTTTTTTCACTTACTCATCTTTGCTCTTTTAATAACCCTAATCAATAGCCCTAATCCCTTCAATATTTTCATGTTTCAGTAAGTTCTTCCCAGAAACAGGTATTTGTAAAAAAATGTTTCAATCACAAAGGGAACTAAAGGTGATTATGACATCACCTCTTCCATTTCCTGAGTTCATATGGAAGTTAACACTCTATAAAGTATTGCTTGTTTTGACTCAGTATTCAGGGAAAATGTGACACAGTCAGCAACAATAATAGGGCAAAAGAGCAGCCAGGGTACAAGGGAAAAAAGCAGCAAAGTATACTGGCCAGCATCCAGTTCACATCAATTAATAGCCAAGATCCAGCTTACAGACATGGGTGTCACCTCAGTTGACTGAAAAACACTACATGGAGCTCTTCCATTGGCAGAAACCCCAGTTACAGGGACCCTGATTAATATTTGTGTTTGTGTGTTTATGTGTGTGTGTGTGTGTGTGTGTCTATGTGTCTATGTCTACCTGCTGTTGAAAACTGTCCAAATCTGTTTCTAGCATTTCATACTGAATAAGCAACTTCAATTCTCTGCAATTAAGAGAAGGGTCCCCATTTTATCCTATGCCTTAATTTTTAATCAGCTAGGCTATTCCTAAGGTCCTACTTCCTGCCAACATCTTCAGCTCTTCAGGAAAGCCAGTTAATGGGACTGCCGATTTGCCTATTATTGAGTTCAGAGCTTGGCTCTGCCACTTCCTCATCAGACAGCTTAAGGGAGAAAAGTTTTGTTTTATCCTTTCCTCCTCAACCCCTTGAGCCATCCCACAGCTCCTCAAAGAGCCTGGTAAATGGATTTAAGTGTACAGATGTTATAGGCCTCTACCACTAATGGTGGGTTGTTTTTTATTTTTCTGCACGCTTGTAAGCTCCAAGCAGCAGGCTTTTATTTCAAAACAGTAACAACAGTACTTGCCAGAAGCACACTGTGGCACTAAGGTCTTTTATATAACTCAGTGAATTCTCAGTGAATTCTGATCACTGGCCTAGCGAGTGAGGATTATCACTGTGTAGGAGTGTTTTGGTTGTTATTTGTATTTTCACCATTATTGTGATTTATCACTTCATCGTTTTGTTTTCAATTTCATGTTGGTTTGACTGGTGTGTGAACTGCATGCACTTGCTGTTGTACTTGTGTCAAATGATTCTCTAACTTCCTTTGGAAAGCACTAATGAAAAGTGCTATTTCTCTTCTCTATTGTTGGGTTTTTTGTAAAGTTGCTCAAATGCTCTCAGGTATGGCGGCTCTGAATGGAGGACTTGGCGCCACGGGCTTGACGAATGGCACGGCGGGCACCATGGACGCCCTCACCCAGGCCTACTCAGGGATTCAGCAGTACGCGGCAGCGGCACTGCCCACGCTGTACAGCCAGAGCTTGCTGCAACAGCAGAGCGCTGCAGGCAGCCAGAAGGAAGGTATGTGCCTGCCCAGGGCACGGCCTGGCGTGGCCAGCCCAGAGGGCAACATTTGCCTTTAAAGCATGTTTTTAAAGAAACTAGATGAAGCCAGTATCATAACAGAAATATTTCCTTTCTACTAATATTTTTAAAGCCTGGCAAGCCTAAATCATTTGTTTCATCTTCTCTGTTCAGTATTATATATATTTTTTTTGTCTACCTCTTAAAATGCATTTCTGACCCTCTGTGTGCTTATACACAATTACTTAATCATCGCTGTCATTATTGCCAGGAACCCCTCTCCCCAATAAGCACGGGCTATCTATTCTCCCCTTACACATAAGCAGCTTGTTAGTGAAAGGGGCGAATGGCTGCATCTGCGGGTGAAGCCCTCATTCCTGCACTCCCCAGGTTTCTAGAATGCATACACCCTGTGATTGTGTAGTTTGCCTCTTAGTAGGTGATGGTTTCCAGGTTAATGATAAAATCCACGGTTCAGATTGACTCAATCTTTGTTTAATTGGGGGTCTTCAGGGGAAGCAAATAAATGATTGATTGCCTTGCTTCTCTGCCAATAAAGCAAAATAAACTTCAGGAAGTTAATGCTGGGAATAAATTGAAGCTAATTATAAAACAGTTAATGGGCTAGTTCAAATAAGGAGAGCTGGTCTCTTCTGTTGGTTTCTTCCTCTTTATTGAACTTGCTTTAAACCAAAATCTGCAAAATGTTAATCTCTTTCTGACTTGTTTAGAATATGGGAGATGCAACTAGAATAGGGGAGGATTTGAAGTTTATAAAATGTCCTGCCCTTCCTTAGCTTCACCTCGTAGTTCTAAATTGTTTTTGTCTGAATACTGACTTTAAACATGGCATGCTGTAAGAAATAGAATAGATATACTTCATGAAGTTGTAAATTTTAAAGGGGACATAGCTTAAGAGAAACCCAGGTGTTTAAAAAAAAAGATTCATCTTTATAAATCATGAAAAATGAAGGCTATGTTGGAATACATCATCTTTCATTATCTCAAGTTTCCCTACTCTTAGCTGTGACTATTACATAGTCACATAGGTTCTCATAAAACATACCACTACTCAGACAACTATATCTCCCCAGATGTGTGGACACCTGTATCATAACATTGTGACTTCCAAAGAAAAGCCTCTACTGAGGTTTCTTTCTGGGATCTGGCTACTGTGGTGACAAGTAAGGGTATCTTGGAGGGGCTCTATAAGATAGCAATGTCCTCAGGAGAGACTAAAAGCTGGTCCCTCCTTAGGCCTTTTAGAGACTGTTGGCCCAATTCTTCATTATCTGGCAGGCCTTATAGCAAACTAGTTAGCCTATGTCATTGAGAAAACACCAGGCACTGAAAGACTTGACATTTAGTGATTTAATGGCAGTCTGAGCCCTGAAACAAAATCTCTCAGTTGTTTCACCCCAGCCCACACTTCCCATGCCTTTAGTTTTAGGGATTATTTATATAATAGCACTTTTTAATAATGTAAAATAGTTTAAAATGGCTTGCCAACTCCTGAGTATTCATATTTTGGGATGTGGGAAACCTGTAGGATGGTTTAGTTTTTTTTAATCATCTCCTCCCTTCTCATATTTCTCTTTTGAGTGCATGTTAACTGTGTGAGAAGATAGATCAAGAGAATTTACGAAAGCAAGTTATACTGGGAAGGAAAGAAAAAAATCATGAACTCGATTAGATTTTTAGTTCTTCTACTCAAGAGTTGGAAGTCACCTTGATGTATTTAGTCATAACCCTGGTGTCCATTTTCACACAGGAAAATGAGCCAGTCTGGGTTTGTCAAGAAAGTGGTTTTAACTTCTCCCCAGCTAAGTCTTGTGAAGAATCCAGAAAAACTGGCCACCATTCCTAAATATTCTTTGTTCTCTTCCTCCACCTTCTCATCTTCCTTTATTTGCAGGAGGCAAGTTCTATACACAACAGTAGGTAGAACCTCCAGATACCTAAAAAGAAGCTGGAAGGCACAGGTGGTGTGAAGCAGGCACCCACAGTGCTTTATGCCTGTGAGAAAAAACAAAATATGGACCCCCCCACACCTCCAGCTGGGGCCAGCAGTATAACATAAAATGTTAACAAGTTAACATGTAGTAAGAGAAATTGAGGAATCTGTGACCTGTTAACAGGCTTCTGCTAAAGGGAGAAGTGAAGAGAAAATGCAGATAGAACCAATTTTTTGGTAAATTTTGGCGGTTTACAAAATCAAACTTTCTTAATGAAAAGGCTGAGAGGTCTACAAGAGAAGATGTTGGTGGCATTTTTTTCTGGTGAAAAGGAAGAATAGAAAGACAAGCCTCTGTGGGTTTCCCTGTCTTCCTTGTTTTCTTGATCCCCTGTGGCTGGCTATGTCTGGATAATCCTGGCATTCTAGAATGCCAGGATTATCCAGACATAGTCAGTAACCTATCAAAGTGCATTAAAACTGCATTTTCTCCTCAGGCTTCAAGAGGTGAGATGTACTTCACAATTCATAGCACATAATCCTTATTTGTGCATTTAGATCTCTTATTTAGAAGGAATTTTAATCTGGGTAGTGCCAGATCTGACCAATATACTTACTGCAAATGATGCACAGGGCATGGGAGCATGCGGAACATCCTTTTCTAGTGCTCAGGTTTTGCATGTATTCATAGTGTTTTGATGTCTTAAGAGGTTTCTTTTAAAAACCAGGAAATACTTGGGGACTTGAACTCTGCCCCTTTACATACAGAATGCCTCCTTTACACTTGGAATGTGGATAAGTCCATGGAAATTGTGAGTGATAAAGTTAAAATGGTCCTACTGACAGTTAACTAAGGAAGGAATGCTTCATTTCTACGGGTTCAGAAAGTTGCCCCAAGAAAACTCCCTTGGGAAAAGTCCCAGTCACTACAACACTTTTCTTTTATGGGTTGTTTTTGTGGGGAGAAACTTGGTTTGCCTTTACTTTGACCCAAGCACATATTACCCACCCCCCCCCCCAAATGCCAATTAAGGGTCCATGAACCACCTATAAAGGCTACTTCACTTTTATGACCTCCCTTCCCACCCGGAACCATCTGGGGGAAGGATCCGCACCTACCCCTAGCACCCTTTGACCTGGAATGCATTCTTGCCTGTTAACTATTAGAAGATGATTACCTTCTGTCAAGTCACTGGATTCCCTTCTTTTCACCTGCAGGTGGGTAGAGATACGGGAGAATGAAAAGTACAGGAACATGAGAGCTTTCTCTCGAATATAGCAGAGCATATCTTCCCTGTTGTGCCTTTGTTCCTTGTATTTTCTGGAAAGTGATGCGTAAGACTGAAAAACTTGGCTTAGTCTTTGTTTAGCAGCTACACCTCATCCATTCATTTCCAAAGCAAAACCCCAGTGGTATAGTTCCTATCATAGCTGTGAAATGCTGGCAACCTATTTTTTCCTGCATTGACTCATTTCTAATAAAAATGATTGTTAGAATGTGTATTAAGAGATTTGGCAAATCAAAACTGGATGGATAATTAGCTAAATGATTGAGAAATCCAAGCAGTATCACTGCTGTATCCATTCTAAATTGCTGTAATTTGCTTAGAAGGCACAGGCCACTCTCCTCTAAGAGATCGTATACATAAGACTACAAAACATAGCTGCCCAGGAAAAAATCCACACCTGACTCTCCTGCTCCAAAATGACCACAACCTCCCTGAACAGGAAACTGACACCATGTTAAGTGCAATAAGCAAATGCAGTCTGCAGAAGGTTACCAGTGAAAAGGGAGCTGTTTCTAACCTGTGTCTCTTTGGAAATCAGGAAAATCTGAAAGATGATTGCTTTCCTAAAAGACATACCAGCACTTGCCATTTTTCCATCTATTTTATTCTCTTTTAGTCGGACAAAAAGCCAAATGCTTAGCCTATCTGTTGTTTAAGCATTCCTAAGAAGAGACTTCGGGAACTAAGAAGCGAAGAATACCTTACTCTGATTTTTTTTTCCTCTTTAGGTCCAGAGGGTGCAAACCTCTTTATTTACCACCTTCCACAGGAGTTTGGAGACCAGGACATTCTACAGATGTTCATGCCTTTTGGAAATGTTATCTCTGCTAAAGTCTTCATTGACAAACAGACCAATCTGAGCAAGTGCTTTGGTATGCAAAAGAAGCCAAGCTAGAGTCTTACAGTGCATTCCCAATGAGGAGTCATGGGAAGAAAAGTGTAAATGACAGATATTCAGGAGTCAGGATAGGACCCTCCCTGTGTGGTGGTGTTTTTTGGTTCTCTGAATCCATAAAGCAGATTGGGCAGAGTCGCTTCATTCAAAAAAACCAAAGGAGAGGGTTCTATCAAAAGGACAGACTGAGGACTGAAATGCCCATATGTTCAATAATGTATACTGCACTCCTAATACTGTATCATTACAAGTATCTTTTTACAGATATCTTATAACCTGTCATTGTAGAGCAATAGCAGCTTCTTTAAGTCTCATAGATTGTACCCCAACCTTTACCAGATGGGACTACAGAGTTTACAGACTGAGGTGTAGTTTAGGCTGTCCTGATACAGGATGGCACTGCAAACCCTGTGCCACTAATTCCTTATCCTTGCAGGTTCAGTATGACTCAGAACACACTGTATCAGGAGCTTACTATTCAGCATCTTGATGCCTGTACCTTCACAGTAAGGATGAGGTCAGGCTGCCCATCACCCTGCAGTGCCACAGCACAGAATAGCTACTTGATATATCACATTTTCCATAAAGCAATGCATTCTGCTGGGACTCAGGAGCCAGATCTTGGGATGAGAGGACTCCAGGGGCTGCCCTGTAGTAGAGGGCAGATGGAGAGCACAGGTATTTGCAGGTATTCTCAGAACATCAGCAAACCCAGCTTTGCAGTGGCTGGAGTTCTCACAGCTTCCTTCCTCAAGCTGCTGACACTGCCTCCCAGGGTGAACCTCACTCTCTAAGGCGAGCCCACTGTGTGCACAAATGTTGGACACCAGTGGAACAGCATTCATTAAATCTATTTCATATTTAGTTTTCAGCCCTTTTAGTCTCAAAGTAGTTTAGAGGCAAGACTGTTCAGACTATCCATTACTTACTTGGCAGATTCTGACCCATTTTGAGATAAACACTTGCTTTAACCACTCCTCCAAATTAATAATTCATATTGTTATTAGGTAATAAGAATAGTGCAAAACAAGATTAAGTGGGAATATAAACAGAATTGTTTAGTGCAAAGAAAAACATCAAAATGGTTCTCAAATAACCAATCTACAAAGAATGTTTTGGCTCCTAAACTTCCATTATCCTAACATCCTTCTAATTTCTGTGCCATCACCCAGGAAGGTCTGAAGCATCTGTTGTTAGGGCAATTAGTATGTCAGCCACTTAAAGTCACTGTTTTTACCCAATTGGAAAGACTGTCACCCTGAACACGGAACGCTATTGCTGCAAGTATATAAAACCCCTCATAATGATTCGAGAGAGAAGATGCAAAGTGTATGTGCGGGTCACCAAACACTTACCTTCGGGAGCATCCCTGGGCAAGGTTTTGAGCCAGACTTCTGTATTCTTCATTGCTAAACAATGTCCTGGGCTCATTTGGAGACTGGAATGGGATTGTGCTCGGAGATCTGATTTTGAGAAAATATTTACTGCCTTGGGAAAAATAGCATCAGCCCACAAACTACTTATCCGGTGTGTTCATAATAATGCAAGCTTTAGTTGTATCAGCTGACAACTGTACTAGCATTATGGATTGTCTTTAACTTTTATAAAAGTTATAGCATCTCCTACCTTGGTTTCCTGGCCTGAAGGTGGTACATCATTCTTTCATCCTAACCTCTGGGCCAGGTCTCGTTATCCATTTCACCCTTAACCCATTTTTTAATCATCTTGATATTTCTGGATAAAGACCTAAAAGGAAAGGAGAAATCATAGTAAAAATCTTGAATTTAATATCATATTTATATAGGGAATTAGATTTAATAAAAATGTAAGACACCATTTCTATAATACTGTCTGTCTGTGAGATGCTTTTCTGCCTTTTACCATGTGCTCATTTTTATCAGCTGAGAACTCAGCAGTGAGAACTCTGCTAGAGGTACATTTATGTCCTTTTCTGCCTCTCTAGTTTGTAAAGAAATTTTCTCTTTAGCTTTAAACGTGGATTAATAGTTTAGAATAAAACCTTCTGAATAGCTGATTTTCAGAAGTGAAATTCATTCACTATTATAACTTCCTTTCAAAACCAAAGTAGGGACTATACAAGTGTAACACTTCTGGATCAGGATTAACTACAGAAAGGTTTATGATGTGTACCCCCATCATCCCTCCACCCCATCCCAACCCCTGGACACCTTGTATTAGAACACTAGAGGATCAGAATTCTATTTCTGGGTCCATTATATTGGGTTGTCGGAAAAGTCATGACTTTTCCAACAGCCCAAGAGATTACCATTAGTTCTTTTTCAAAAAACATGCCCTCTCTGCTTTTGTGGTGGTGAGTGTTGGTCCAAGGAAAAATACTGGAAACTGTTAAAATAGTTGCTAGGCCCTGAGCTGTTTTGAACTGTTTATTCCCCAATACTCCTGGGCATACAAGGTAGCAATTTCTATTCTGTTTAATTCAGTGGCACTTTGAAAATGGAAGATAAGGAGAAACTTCCAGCATTTCCCCCTGGGTCCCTAGCTTTCTTTCAGAAATAACTCCAAAATGTTGAAAATCAAGTATAAATTATCTACTATAATTCAAGCTGACTCCATCCAATAGCCAAGGAGGTATAGGCTCTGGGAATATAAACGGAGACTATAAATGGGGCTTTAGCATTATACCTGTTACCTATTCCCGTAATTAACCTGCCTTTAAAGCTCACCTGGTTGGGAAGTGAGCTCTGGAGGTACTTCCTGCCCTGGAATATTTATACCCCTGCTTATATGAGTAGCACTTACTTAGGACTTATATACCTAGGGTTCTTTTAGAGGGATTCAAAAGGACTTTAAACGCCAGTAAATTTGACGGAAATCACTAACACAAAAAGGCTAAATTCACACCAACAACTGAGTCTGGGATATTGGCTTTTGGGGGAGAGGTTTTGTTCTCAGGCCAAATTACAGTCCAGGTAGTTTTTCCCTGTTTCTCAGTGAACATTTCCAGTGTTGTTCTTAAAACATGTCCTGGAGGTCTGTGGTAGCCACACAATGAATTGAGACGAACTGAGACCATGGGCTCCGCGCAATCACTCTCTCCAGTTACGCCATGAAGGCTTGGTCCTCTTCTCTATTCTGCTGCCTCTCCATCTTGATTCCCGCCTTCCTTCCCCTTGTGTTTTGCAGGTTTTGTTAGCTACGACAATCCAGTATCTGCACAAGCTGCTATCCAGGCTATGAATGGCTTTCAGATTGGCATGAAACGCTTGAAGGTCCAGCTGAAGCGCTCCAAAAACGACAGCAAACCTTACTGATCCTAACCCCAGAGGCTCCCTGCTCTTATTTTAGCTTTCTTAGGGTAAGTCCCACGAGCCAGCCTGTTCTCAACAGGAGAGGCAGAGGAGGACCACATTGCCAACTTTTACCAAGAGAGACAGTTATTTTTACAATAAGGCCTCCATTCCCCCCTCCCCGTCCCACACCCAGTTCGCCATAATTAAAACTTGGGCTACCTTGTTTTTATCGAGTAAACTCCTCCAGTTGTGCCACTGTAATCTCCTTTGTTTTGCAATTTGAATCTCCTTTTTGTTTTGTTTTCGTTTTTTGCTTTTCCTAAGGAAAAACACGCAAACACAAATGACATCTTGAGAACATAAAAGGAAAACAAAGGCTAATGTGCAATTCTAACTCTAAGACCCTTGGTGTCCCAGAGCACTGCCTGGAGAATCCACCCCTCCTGCTGGTACCTACCCCTAGGAGGATGCCAGCTCCTTAAGAGGTTAAGGCGGGGGCCTAGTGCAAGAGAAAAGCCAGGAGAAGCACTTAAAACAATACAAAAAAAGTCTTTCCACTACATTTGGTTTGTTTTAAATAAGTAGGATTTTATTTAAGGGTTCAAAGAAACATACATTTATTGGTCAGATTATTATTACACTGGTTGTCTATTTTGTTATTGTTTTATTTTAGTTTTTAGAAAGGATTAATGTAAAAATGATTTAGAGATCTGTTTCTTAAAGCTACAGGGTTTAAAAATAAAATAAAAATGAGTGAAAATACTTGATGTTTCTTGAAAGATAAATTTAATAATAAATAAATAATACATAAATAATACATAAATAAAAAAGAAAGCCACAGGCCTGTAAATTTTATTTGTAAAAAAAGCATTTCTATTTTTGTACAAAATTTTTACTGCCTCAGAAATAATGGAAGTTATTTATTGCCTACTGTTAACTTATTGGGTACCTAAAGAGCAGTTCTCTGTGCTAGCTAGATCCTTTTGAAGTAGTCTCTAGAGGAATAGTTCTAGGAATGGGCTTTTTTTCCACCGTTGAACCCTAGGCCTAAAGTTCATGCTTTATCCTCTTGTTGTTTGTATCTGTCTGATTATTTTGTTGTAACTTCCATTATCTAGTATACAGTTCAGTCGTCTGACTTTCCCCTTATGTTACATTTGTTGAAACTGGATCCTACCCCCTGTCCCTTGCCAGCTCCTCACCCCAAAATGCCCAGAATCCATCCCCTCTCCCTCTCTGGATGGATTCTCTTGGGGTTCCATTGTGCTGTGGATAAAGACTGTAAGAAATGCAAATTACATGGATGGCTCGTAGACTCCCTAATGACCTAAGATTTGCATTAGTTTTTTCTCCTGCACCCTTAAGAGTGATTTTGTTGCTGCTGCGTAGATTCTGTGTAACTTTTTACTCTCCCTTGTTTTCTTCCCTAGACATCTTCATGCCCGTTAGTTCACCGTTTGCCTAGCATGTCCCTGTGGCGTCTCAAAAAAAAAGTTTCATCGTCCCGTCATTGTTTCTGATGTCTTTCTGACCTCACATCATATTTGGTTCTCCTACTGACCTTTGATCTAGTTTGACCTTTGAAATTTGCATGTGACCTCATCTAGCTATGAATTCTGGGAAGTCAATGTGAAAAACATTGCTGCATTCATGCAAGACTGAAATTTATTATTAGACAAATTAATTATAGAAAAACAACCTGTGGCAAAAAAATGTTTCGTTTCTTATTTTTTTTCTTTCTTTTCATAAAACAGACTTGAAAGTATTATACAGGGATTGGCATTCTTCCCGGTCACTGGTAACAATAGCAATATGTGTCCAGGGACACAGAATGTTGGTTTCTAACAGACTACTTCCAAAAACAGTTTGAGAAAAAAACTGTCTGATTTTAAGTCTCTAGAGGTCTGTAATAGTTTTTACATTTTTCAGGCAGTGTAAAGTTTTTTGATAAGGCCATTTTAGGTGGCTCACTTTCTCATTAAGATATATATATAGAACCACTTTTTGTAGATTAGTATAAGAAAAATATTTACCCTGTTTTGGGGCAAATGCTACCTATTTGTGTCACCTTTTGCTGAACTGACTCACAGTTAGACAATCCATGGTTTAATGCACATGAAATTACCTATATTTTATACTGTTTCAATGTACAGGAGAAAGGTTACTGTAAACTGTTACGTTGGTGCTTCTGTGAATTAAGTTGTGGTTTCATCATGAGTCTATGGTCTTAATGTTCACTGTTGATAAGACAAGTTTAGAATTGGTTTACTTAAAACAAAAAAAAAGAATTTCAAAAAAAAGTTGTTTGCTTAAAAAAATTTCATGTGAGGGAAAAAAAAAACCTATTCCAGAATAAGTTTTGTGTTGGCTTGTAAAGCATTGATGTCATTTTTTTTTATTATTGTGGACTATTTAGATGTGTTTGTGTTCAGCAAAATGTGATTTTTTTTCTTTTAAAGAAAAAAAGTGAAAATATATAGTGCCAAATTCCAAAGGTACTTCCTTCCTAGAGCTTCAGTGTGTTTCTTGTGAGAAGTAATTTGATAACATGGGTATTTTATTATGTGTTTTGTATAAATCCCTAATATTTAAAAAACAAAAAAAAAGAGGTTAAAAAGTTTGTTAACTTGCTATCCTGTGGTCTTGTTGCCTGAAATTGTTATTGTTTGTTATTTCTCTATAATGTTTTTTGTAAGACATTGTATAAGTGCCCATGTCTCACTTTTTTAACCACTCTGCACATCAATGCTGTGACAGCAACCTCACAATGTATTTTCTTCATAATATATGGAAACCTCTAAGGTGAGAAAGTTTTGAACTTTTAACCCTTTCTACCCAGAGCTATCTGAAATGTTGATAACTTTTTATATATTGTCATCATTTTAGTTTGTTTTGAGACGTTTCTCATTTGGAAGCCCCCCTTCCTTGTCCCCACATCTTTCTTCTCTATAAGTTTTGTTTTCACTACTTTTTATTCTTTGACTGAAATCCAAAACAAAAAATCTCCACAAGGCAAACCTGAAGGAAAAAACATACTTTAACTCTCATTTTTTTTCCTACACTATTATTTTCACTTTTGGTTCTTTCTGATCATTCTTTTTTAAGAATTCTTAATATGCTGCTGGAATTCCTTCTTCAGTTTTAAAGAAAAACTGTTTACTGGATGAACCTTCTGAGGGGATGGTAGATAGATTCAGCCTATAACTTCCAGTTAAACAACACTGCGACTGGGTAGTCTTGAGGATTTTTTGCATTCATTTCTTAAAATACTCCTAAATCATATTTCTAATCAGCCACTGTGCTGGGGACTTTCTGATCCCAGCAAACACCAGGTTTAATTGCTGATAGTCCTTTCCTGGTTGTTGTTGTTGTTGTTTTAATTGAGAACACATTTAAACAGAACGGACCACAGAAGTAAAATTCAGTTCTTAACCACAATTACTGACCAAATATCTACCACCAGTTCCTGCTGCCACTTTTTAAAGTGCCATATTCTTTGACTTTCACTTTATGTAAACAGATCTCTTGCTGTCTTGACAAAACCCAATGTCATTCCCACAACACAAGTCCTGCCTGCTTTCCTGGACAGAAGCCTGACTTCACTGCAGTTCAGAAACTGCTGGTTCCCTTTCCTTCCTCTTTTCCCCCCCGTATACCACCCTGTTTGGTTTAATGTGCATTTAGATGTGATAGCCCTGGGATGGAAAGGACTAGCCTCTGATGCAAAAAAAAAAAAAAAAAAGTTTCCTTCTTATAGCACATGCACTTAAAATGAAATGATTTGTATTATCCTCACAAGTGTTTACTACTGCTGGGGCCTTCCTTCATCCTTTGAGGGCTATTTTGTACTTCCTGCAGCAATCAGCCTAGCAACAAAAGTTATCGCACATGTCTCTCATATATATTACATGGTGGTGTGTAGATACATACAGACACAGGAGAGCACCATTTGAATCTCAGTTTCATTCAGAATCTCTTCATTTATCCAATTACATATAAATCTCAAATAAAATGTTTCCTCTTTCTTCACTGAAGCAAACTGCCCTCCCCTCTTTTCCTTTCCCCGACCTATATCTCCCCCCAGGAACCTGAATGCAGCTGACCAGAGGCTAAGGGTGGGTACTTTGAACTGAGTGTTTATTTTACAGGCAACCAAGACCATACATTTAGGGGGAAAGTCCTTTTATTTTTTTTTTTCTTTGCATGTTTCATTGATAAGAAAGCTGTCCTTTTATTCACTTTAATCTCAAAAGGAAAAAGCTGCAAGGGTGCAAGGGGCGTGTGCCAGAAGAAAAACACACAGGGAAACTGCTTTTTTTTTTTAAAATCAAGTGTAGAAAATAGTCATTTTTAAACTAAATTAGAGAATTGCGATAAAATGGCAGTCCTCAAAGGTGTGACAAGTTCATCTTTCTTTCACCATAGGGGTTATAGTTCTTTGGCTTGTGCTACTCTGGAATCATTTTACTGTTTCTGTTTTTATTATCTTAAGTGCTAATTAACAAGAAGAAATAAAATTTTAAAAAAACCTGTAGTTTCATTACCTTTTTGAATAATGTCATACAAAAAATGTATTTGTGTTTTTTTGTGCTGTGAGAATTGTTGTTTGTAGATTAATAATACCATTTTGTTTAGAGTATTACAAAATAGTTTTTAAATATTGTCTGAGAAAAGCCAAAGTTAATGCAACCTAGTGGAAACTGTAAGACCATTTGAGTATTGTTTCTGTTTTATTGATGCATTTGGATTTTGTTGTTTGATGGAATTTGAGCCAAAAAAAAAAAAATACGCAGGCTTTCCTATTTCTACAACTGATTGTACTTATGCATTTTGTACCAGTGGAACTTTTTATACTGGAGATTAAAAAAAAATGGAAATTTTTGTGGCTTACTCTAAGTGGGCCCCCTGACAATGACTGATTTCAAGTTTGATTTCTGGTTGACAGGAAGAAAGTTGCTTTTCTTTTGAGAATTAAAAACTTTGGCTTGATTTCTTTTTTCCCTTTGCTTATATCTAGCATTAGAATTTTGTCTTAAAAATACAGCGGTAAGTTTCACTTTTTATTCTGTATTGTGCAGTTACACAATAAGGTAATTAGATTTAGAAGTACTCAGTCACTTTAAGTGGATAAATGTATTAGTTAAAACTTTAGAGGTTTGCTTTTTTGCTGTTTAGATCAAAGTTTTTTCTGATTCTTCTGTCCTCATTGTGAACATAACCGTGTAGTTGAAACAGTCAAACTTATTTTTGTAACGTATGTTATTGTGTGATGCGATTTTTTGCTTCTGTCTCCAATATTAAACCATTTTCCTAATACTTGTTTCTCTCTCTGCGTGTTGTATTGTTGGTAGTCATTATATGTTGGTGATGCATCTACACACCTCACTGTTTCACGTATCTGTTTTTTTCTCTATGTTGTGTAAAAAGATACAGTCGATTCCACCTAAGTGAATATCTGATTTGGGGAAAGGGAAAACTGCACACCAGCCACCTTTGATTTATGTACACAACCCATTTTAACCACTGCTTCCAAAATTGACACTTTTTTTCTGATGGGTCACCAAAATAACCGCCTACAGAGCTGGGTTTACCAGGACATTTTGTGATCCTTTGACCATAATGGTAAATTTCACCTTCTCTTCTGACCTCTTCTCCTCCGGCACCCCCTTCATGCTGTATGTATGCTACCTGTTATCATTCAATAGAAACTGCTGCTGCCTTGCTACATAATCTTAGGAAACTTGAGAAGCAGCAGAGCTAGGGTTTCTTCTATCTACCCACAAGTCCAAAGGCCTAGCATAACAAACACTTCCTAGAAACTAATCACATTTTTAAAAGAGGTGAGCTCTTGAGGGAAGAAAAACTAAACTTACTGGTGAATAGACGTCTATGTGTTGACATCGATCAATAGATATGTATAGGAAAGTAATTTAAATTATTTATTTTTAAGAGCTAATTGAATCCAGGAGCAGCTTTAATTATTAAAACTAATGGAAGAGAAAAGAAATTTCCAAGTGCTCAAATGGAATCCCACTCAATAGGGTGGGTTGGGAGGGGAAGAGATAAAGTTTCTCATGTTCAAATCTTCATTCCAAAAAAAACCTGAGAGTGCCATATGCATCCATGCGCCCTCCTGAATGAACAAATAAATTTTTAAAAGGCTTGTCCCCAACATCCTTTACCAAAAAGAATAAAGAAAAAATGATTTCTTATATGCCCTCTAAAACTGAAGCCACAGGCCCTCCTAACTTCTGCCCATCTCTTACGCTCAGGAATCTGATTGCTCTCCAAGTGCTCTTAAAAGATTCCATTACTGTTTGCTCCCTGTGTCTTCTCTCTCCTTCCAACTTTGCAGATGCACAAGCTCTGTCTGACTCAGGCCCCCCCAGCACCTGGCTACCTTCCTCTGGCTGCCAATGAGATCTTCCTGCAGGTGCTCACGCCCTTCACCCTCTGGTTTCAGCAGCCTCACTCACCCCCTAGACTATTTTCTAGTCTGTTCTACAACAGAGGGGCCTGCTAAGGTGGAGGAAAGGAGGTTCTTTCTCTCACAGGCCATACACATCAGTGAAGTGACTTCTACCAGCTCCACCCTGCAAACAGGAGCTGACTTCCTGCTAATACTCCTGCTTTAAAAACATCATAGCCGCCATCAGCTTACCTCTGAAAACCCACAGCATATGTTAGTGGAAATAGAGGACTAAGGGTGTGATTTCTTTGCCTTTTTTTTTCTTCTTGGTGGGGGGGTGTGAGGGAGGGGCAAAGCGGGGAAAGAGGGTGATCAATTCTTTCCAAGATGCATGTGTTTATTTTTTAAATCTGTAAGTAACATTAAGTATATCTATCCTCCATTAGGCACAATGCAAAAGACTCATGCTAAATAAAAGGGAAAGAGAGCCAGTATTTTGTTTTCATTCTGGGAAGACAACAAAAACAACTCTCCAAAGAAGGGGACAAAAATGCTAGTTCCCTTAAGCACTTATGAGTAAAGTTGGTCCCTGCTTAAATTCATCCTTATCATTTTGATCTGTGATAGACCGTTGCAGTGTTAGTAAGGCCTCTCGGTTTGCCACGCACGGACCACCTTGGGAAATAACAGAACCGTCAACATTTACCTTGTTGACAGAAGCCACAGGTGAATCCATGGGCCAGGACTCTTAGCTGGCAGACTAGGAAACACAGTGAACATAAATGTGAATCGTTCCTGATAAGTGAATAAAACATTGTGACCAAACAATCAGCTTATTCACTTATCAGGAATCGACTGTTCTGCTAATTCGCTGTTTCTGTTTTTCATCTCTGTTGTAGTTCACTATTTTTGCTGTGTTCTGTTTTCTCCTCTCATGCTTGGGCAAAATCACTGGGAATATTATCTTCATGTGACCATGAAACGTTTATATCGAGTGAAAATGGTATCTTAACAAAATCTATGCACTTGCTATCAGGAACACAATACTGGATGTGTCTTATATATATTGAACTATATAGTACTCGATTTCTTAAATAAAGCTTAAGAAAGGACTGTTGTGTGTAAAGTTAATGTGATTATTTTTCAAAGCAGTGTTTCTAAGGGGTATTTTTGTTTTAAGTCTTGAGTGATACAGGATATTTTTCATTAAATTATATCACTGGCTTTATGACTAAATATTCAATAAATTGACTTTGGAAACAAAATGGAGTGGGGGGAAGTTCTTCCGAGTGCATTTTAGCAAGAGACATCTGGAAAGCCATTCCCTCAATGATGACTATGGCAAATCTCTCCCCAGGGTGCTGTGGGTAGCAGAAGCAAGCAATCCCTTCACCACCAAAAGACCACTGGGAAGCGTGCAGATTCTGTTCTAACCCAGAAAACCAACTGCCATTCTGAATGTGATCTCTTTAGGCTCAAAGAAAGGGGACCAAAAAAAAAGGGCAGATCCAAGAATAATGCTGGCTTGCATCAATGCTTTTCCAAAATGATGTGACCCTAAAGCTGTACCTGGCTGGAGAGCAATGGAGGTTCTATTCAGGGCTGAGAGGAAGCAAGAGAAGGCATTTGATCACTCAGGATGAGAAGGGTCAAATTTCAAAGCAACATGTGAGCGCAACAACATCCTGTAACAGTCACAAGGCTTAAATGGGAAGCCTCCTGCTTGGCCCTTTGAAGAAATATTTTTGAAATTTTTCCTACAGGCCATAATGTCTGAACAGAACGGTATTTTCTGTTGGATTTTTTTTTTTTTTTTTTTGCTTTGGGGTTTTATGTTAGATTTGGTTTTCTTAATGTTTGATTCTAAGGAAAACTAAACTTCTATTTGCAAAAATGGTACAGGCATTCTAATCCTCTATAAATCTTAGTGATCCCTGATAATGACAGACAGAAAGAGCACAGTTAATAAAACTCCAAAAACCTTCTAAAATTCTTATTCTAGTCACTGCCCTCTCTCATCCCAAACCACCTCCTCTTAAATCTGTCACCCCAAACAAAAACTTACAGCGAAAGTGAGAGATCAGAGAAGTAGCCAAGGATAGCAACATTAAAGGGTCTACATTGACAATACTTGCTGGACCCTTGTAGTTTAGGGTTGGGGGAAGATGTTCTGGTCTTTTTTTTTTTTTAAGTAACTTCTTGAAAGCATCAGCCTGTAGGCACCCGGCTCCAGTGTTGAAGAGTTGGTTGCACATTCAGGTGCCTTGGGAAGTGTGCTTTTTATAGTTCTGCCTTGAGCATCACAGTCATTTGCTCAAACATAGCCAGAAAGCATCCTCTTTTATATAAAGAACACATCTAGGCAATAATGGTTAGTTGAACCCTGAGCTTCTGTCAGGGAAGAACAAAAACCAACATAGTCCCCTCAAACTCTGCAGCCCCAATTCAGTAGTCCCCCACTACTCAATGAACTGACTAGCTGGGAGACCCAGCTAGGAGTCAAGGCTTGAGGGCCTGGCAGACAGGAGTTGCTTTAGGCGGGATGATACATTTCTTATAACTTTCCTCCTATGTCAGCAAAGCAGTCTGACACCAACTTCTACCTGCCTACATTCAAGGTTTTTAAAAACACATACCATATATATATATATATATATATATATATATATATATAAAATGATATACATTTAGTATATCATATAAAATGATACAGTATTTAGTATATCATTAATAAAATGATATACATAACATACCATATATATTAAATATATAAAGTATATATCCTGTGTTTCGTAGCTGGTCAATTACAGTTACAGCGCCAAATAAGAATTCCCAATTTTAAGACACTTAATGATCCTATCACGAAGCGGATGAAAGAGAAAGCACTTAAGAATGTTCTCTGGGGAGTCAGGGAACACTAGCTATACCTCTAATTACCCGTGTAACCTCATTGGCAAAATGGAGATAAAAATAATACCTGCCGCATGGCACTGTTAGGAGGATTAACTAAAATAATGCATACAAAACCACTGAGATCAGGGATATCCCATAAGCACTCAGGAAGGTGACCCAGTCAGCAGGAGTGTGAGTCTACCGCCATGGTGGTCTGTGGAAACAATCTCTTTTTCCCACCAGATGGGAGAAAAACTACAGCCCCCAGAGAGTCCCACCGCTCTCCCTGTGTTTCTCAGGCAACCCTGCACAAGGTCTGACCAGAAACTGTAACTCCTCCAGCAGAGATCTATGCACTAAGAAGTTTCTGGACAGATTTTTTCCCCTCCTGAGAAATTTCCCACTAAAGGCATCCCCACCGATAGGTGAGCAGGACCACCCAGTCCTGCCCAACACTATGACGACCAACAACTGACTCCATTCTCAGAAAGGGAACTGATTCCTCACTCTAGTCCACCTCCCACCCCACTTCCATTCCCATCTTCCTACCTCAAAGCATTTTAAGTATCTCTTTGCCCAAAGAAGAGCCTAGCTGTCCAGTTTGGATCCCCAGTGGGAATGACAAAATCACCTGAAATGTTGCTGTAATTAAGTGTGGAGGTTCTATGCCCTTCTGAGGCAGAACTGTGTTCGCAGCAGCAAGCAGAGGCTCTACATCTTTGACCACGTTGGAAGAGTAGAGGTAACTGGCTCAGAAAGCAGAGCTGTCCCTAGACCACCCCACCTTGCTCCACCCCCAATTTAACCAAAGACACTCTGCTTTTGTTTGTTTTATTTATTGCTACTCTATGCAGCATTTTGCTACTAGAAGCGCAAACATTAAAAACCACTGCTTTAAGAAGAAAGTAACTCAGAGAAGCTCACCATTACCTGAACCTGTGACAAATACTGTCTTTGGAGTCATGCTGCCCTTCCCTCTTCTTTCCTACTCTCTCTCTCCCTTCGTATTCCCGTAGTTCTTTGTCTGTAATGTATCATAACATTCACTCTCTCTCATGTTTTGTTTACATGTTGCTTATGTGTGTCTCCCAAGCTTGACTGTGTGCTCATTCATCACTGATTCCCCAGTATCTCACACAGTGCCTGTGTTCAAAAATGCTGGGCAAATAGGTGGATAGATGGGTGGGTGGAAAGCAGGAAAGTAAAATGGATGGATGGATGGGTGAGCAGATGGATGAATGTATGAATGTGGCAGATGACCTTGCTGGGGCTGGAGAAAAGCATTCTTTATTAAATGGGCAATCATTCAGGAAATATCTGGTCTGTAGAGAGAGGCCTGATTATGATATGGGTTGAGGATAAAAACTACAAGCCTCTTGGCATAAATCGGAGTCACGGTGGGAGGCCTGGGACATAGGGCTGAGAGCGGACACTCTGTTGGTGAGTCCCAAATATTCAGGTTCTGCCTTGTTGCCACAGTTAAGCAGCTTCTGGGTCCTGAATGAAGGACATTCCTACAATTGGGTCAAGCTACCTTGAGTGTATTTGTCATCTCTTTCAGGCTAAATTTTGCAACTTCTCAGGAATATTTTCTATCTAGAGATATCCTTAGATAAAATTTTAACATCTAAGAGACCAGAAAAGCCACAGACCTAAGCACAAATCAATATAAACTTATGAACAGATTCCAGATTTCTAAGGCATTTCTGAAAATCAGGTTAACGCTCTTTTGCCTTCTCACCCAGTTGC